CCTTTTATAATTAGTTCACTATTATCTCAGAGAATTACACAAAAATGTCATACTGCATTTGACTTTCTAATTTTTTATTAGACTGTCTGAAGTGTTTTTGATGAAATATTAATAAAGTCATTATTCTGTGTTAGGTTTAGGATTCCAGCTGAGGATGAAAGATAAGTTATAACAAATTTTGTGCCCTGTAGGAACTGGGAAGTATCAAAGTGATTCTCAAAATGAAATTTTATGATGTCTTGCATTCACCTATAAGGATTTTTGTTGTTGGTGTTTTTTTTTTTTTTTTTCTTTCAGAGGTGGAGTCTCACTCTGTTGCCCAGGCTGGAGTGCAGTGGCACGATCTTGGCTCACTACAACCTCCACCTCCTGGGTTCTAGCAATTCTCCTGCCTCAGCTTCCCAAGTATCTGGGACGACAGGCGCATGCCAACGTGCCAGGCTAATTTTTTGTGTTTTAGTAAAGACGAGGTTTCACTGTGTTGCTGAGGCTGGTCTTGAACTCCTGAGGTCAGGCAATCCACCTGCGTTAGCCTCCCAAAGTGCTGGGATTACAGGTGTGAGCCACCACGCCCAGCCAAGGATTGTTTAACATGCAGATTCTCAGGTCCGACCATAAAAAGACTGACTCATAATCTCTGGGGACGGGACTTGAAAATTCACAATGTAATAGGTTCTCCCTACAATTTTAATGCAAACTAAAGTTAGTTGATCTAGTGAAGGTTGGAGGGTAGAGGAATAAACAATTTACAATGTTTAAAATATAATAGTAACTTCTAGGAAAGAGCCACTAACTACCAAGGGAAATCTAAGTGAAGACTTAATTCAGAAGCTGACATTTTCATGGTTTTGAAAATGTTGTGCCTTGCCAAGCAGAGATGGAAGGTGTGGTGGAGGGCATCTCAATGACTCATGTTGTCCATGATATTTCTACTAAGAGAAATACACAGTGGATACTCACTAAATGCTTTGCCTAGTCAGTTTCTGTCTGAAGCCTTCCTCCATCAGCCTCTATTCTGTGTTCTTCAGGGATTTCAGTGACTTCATTTTCCTTGATGGCTCTACACCAAGTTTTGAAGGATTTTAATGGTTAACAGGTACTTGAATGTAATAAATCTGTATATATGTACATATATTTAATACATGAGTACACACACACACACACACACACACACACACAAACAGGCATACCTCACAGATTTGCATGTTAGGTTCTAAACCAACCTAGTAAAGCAACTATTGCAATAAAGTGAGTCACACAAATATTTTGATTTCCCAGTGCATATAAGCATTATGTTTACTGTAGTTTATTAAGTATGCAGTAGCGTTATGTCTGGAAAAATAACTAACATACCTTACTTAAAAATACTTTATTGCTGCTGGGCATGTCAGTACATTCCTGTAGTCCCAGCTACTCAGGAGGCTGAGGTGGGAGGATCCCTTGAGACCAGGAGTTCCAGGCCAGCCTGAGCAATATAGGGAGACTTCCATCTCTAAAAAACCCCCAAAACTTTATTGCTAAAAAATGATAATGATCATTTGAGTCTTTAGCATGTTATCTTTTTTTCTGGTGGACAGTCTTGCTTCAATGTGAATGGCTGCTGACTGATTAGGGTGGTGATTGCTGAAAGCTGGGATGGCTGTGGCAATCTCTTAAGAATGAAATTTGCTGCTTTGAGAGACTCTTATTTTCATGAAAGATTTCTCTGTGGCATGTGATGTTGTTTGCCAGCATTTTACCCACAGTAGAACTTCTTTCGGTACTGGAGTCAATCCTCTGCAACCACTGCTTTATCAACTAAGTTTATGTGGTATTCTAAATCCTGTCTTATTATTTCATCAGTATTCACAGTATCTTCACTAGGAGTAGATTTCATCCCAAGAAGCCACTTTCTTTGCTCATTCATAAGAAGCAACTCCTCATACCTACAAGTTTTATCATGAGATTATAGCAGTTCAGTCACATCTGCAGGCTCCACTTCTAACTGTAGTTCTCATGCTATTTCGACCATGTCTGTAGTGACCTCCTCCACTGGCCTTGAACTCCTCAAGGTCATCCCTGAGGGTTGGAATCAACTTCTTCCAAACTCCTGTTAATGTTGACATTTCGACCTCTTCCCATGAATCTGAATATTCTTAATTGCATCTAGAATGGTGAATCTTTTTCAGAAGGTTTTCAATTTACTTTGCCCAGATATATTAGAGAAATGACTATCTATGGCAGTGATAGCCCTATAGGTTTTTTTTTTTTTTTTAGATAGGGTCTTATTTGTGGCCCAATCTAGAGTTCACTGGCACAGTCATAGCCCACTGTAATCTTCAACTCTTGGGCCCATGGGATCCTTACATCTCACTTTCCTGAGTAGCTAGGACTACAGGCACACACCACCACACCTAGCTAATTATTCTAATTTTTGTAGAGATGGGGTGCCGCTATGTTGCCCAGGCTGATCTTGAACTCCTGGGCTCAAGTGATCCTCCTGCCTCAGCCTCCCAAAGTGCTGGGATTACAGGTGTGACCCATCATAGCTAGCCATGAAATGTATTTTTAAAATAAGACTTTAGAATCAAAGCTACTCCTTGATCCATGGGCAGTAGAATGGATGCTGTATTAGCAGGCATGAAAACAACATTAATTTTCTTGTATATCTCCACCAGAGCTGTTGGGTGACCAGGTGCATTGTCAATAAGCAGCAATATTTTGAAAGGAATCTTGTTTTCTGAGCTTTAGGTCTCAACAGTAGGCTTAAAATATTTAGTAAATTATTCTGTAAACAGATGTACTGTCATCTAGGCTTTGTTGCTCCATTTATAAAGCACAGGCAGAGTAGCTTTATCATAATCCTTAAGGGCCTTAGGATGTTCAGAAGGGTAAATGAGCACTGGCTTCAACTTAAAGTCAGCAGCTGAAATAGTTCCTAACGAGAATCAGCCTGTCCTTTGCAGCTTTGAAGCCAGGCATTGACTTCTACTCTTTAGCTGTAAAAGTCCTAGATGGCATTGTTTTCCAACAGTGTTGTTTCATCTGCACTGAAACTCTTTGTTTAGTATAGCCACCTTCATCAATTATTTTAGGTAGATCTTTTGGATAACTTGCTGCAGCTTCTTATCAGCATTTGTTGCTTCATCTTACACTTTTATATTCTCCCTTTTTTAGACAGAGTCTTGCTCCATTGCCAGGCTGGAGTGCAGTGGCACAATCTTGGCTCACTGCAATCTCTGCCTCCCAGGTTTCTCAGCCTCCTGAGTAGCTAGGACTACAGGCACACACCACCATGCCAAGCTAATTTTTTGTATTTTAGTAAAGATGGGGTTTCACCATGTTGGCCAGGATAGTCTTGATCTCCTGACCTCACGATCTGCACATCTCAGTCTCCCAAAGACACGTTTATGTTCTGGAGATGGCTTTTCTTAAACATCACGAACCAACCTCTGCTAACTTCCAACTTTTCTTCTGCAGCTTCCTTACCTCTCAGCTTTTGTGGACTTGAAGAGAGTTAGAGCCTTGCTCTGGATTAGGCTTTAGCTTAAGGAAATGTTATGTCTGGTTTTATCTTCTATCCAGAACACAAAAACTTTACCAGCAATAAGGCTCCTTTGCTTTCTTATCATTTGTATATTCACTGGAGTAGTATTTTTACTTTCCTTCAAGGACTTTTCCTTGGCATTCACAACCTGGCTGTTTGGTGCACGAGCCCTAGCTTTTGGTCTGTCTCGGCTTTCAATATGCCTTCCTCACTAAGTTTAATCATTTCTAGCTTTTGATTTAAAGTGAGAGATGTGATTCTTTTACTTGAACACTTAGAGACCATTATAGAGTTATTAATTGGCCTAATGTCAACATTGTTGTGTCTCAAGAAATGGGGAGGCCCAAGAGAGGGAGAGATATGGGGGAAGGTATGGTTGGTAGGGCAGTCAGAACACACACATTTATGGATTATGGTCATTGTCTTATATGGGTGCTGTTTGTGATGCCCCAAAGTAATTATAATAGTAACTTCAAAGAGCACCATGGAAAAAATTTGAAACATTGTGAGAATCACCAAAATATGACAGTGATATGAAGTGAGCACATGCTGTTGGAAAATGGCGCCCATAGATTTGCTTGATGCAGGGTTGCCACAAACCTTCGATTTGTTAAAAAAATGCAGTATCTGGAAAGCACAAAATGTATGCCTGTTAAAGGTTTTAAATAAGCCATTTTTTTTTAAAGAGAAAACTTTCAAGAAGCTTTTCAGACAGCAGACAATAAGTATTTGTTGACTAAATGGTCAAGTTGGAGTGAGCAGATTTTATAATTTTATTGTACGAATCACCACCAGCAATTTTATTTTTGATGCTTATAGATGGACAGTGGTGCCTATGTCTATCTGGCCTTCAGTTCCCTTTTGTTTTTTCCTGCCAAAGGACAGTGCTTAGAACTTCCCATTCTTCCTTGTAGTGGCGGAAATCTGTCACCCCAAGATTATGAATTAGGTAGAAAAGTAATGTAAGAGCCAATCACAGGCACCCTCCAGAGCGGCTCCAGACCGGCGTCTCGGGGAGGACTGGCGGAAGATGAGACTTCCTTACCTCCGTTCAATCGGACAAAGAAAGCCATAATAGTTTAGGACAACAGAAAATTCCTTGTGGCTTAAACTGCGGTGGGACTGACTGTTACACAGAAGGCATAATCGGAAAACTTCTATACACTGTGTATCACGGATACATTATTTTCTGAAATCCTGGAGAAACGATTAGCAGTTGTGGTATCACCCGTACCAAAAATGGCTGTAAAGCGCTTCGGACGCTGGATCAGGTGACGCAGCCTCAGCCCGCCCCCTTCCCACAAGCGGCTCCTCCTCCTGCTTCCCTTGGGCAGGAGGTGCACGTGGGGGCGTGGTGGGCGTGGGGGCGTGGTGGGCGTGGGGGCGTGGTGGGCGGGGGGGCGTGGTGGGCGTGGGGGCGTGGTGGGCGTGGGGGCGTGGTGGGCGTGGGGGCGTGGTGGGCGTGGCTTGCCCAGAGGCTCTTTCTTCTAAGGCCGGGAAAACCGAGGGATACACATGCGCAGTTGGACGCCTCTGGCCCTTGGTGCCGCTTCCCAAGCATCTCCCCGCCCCGACCTCTGGGCGGGGCTGGGCCAAGAGTCCAGCTGCTGTTCGCCGGAGATTCAGTGACTTCCTTGTTGTGAGCCCTGGCCCGGCAGTGTTCCAACTTGTGTCCCCGCTGTTATTCGGGCCGCTAGCCTGAGTCTAGGTCGCAGCCGCAACCCCGTCGGTCACCTTTTCAGCGCAGTTCTTTTCCCCGCACGCCCTGCGCTCCCTAACATGCCCAACCCCGGCAGCACCTTCTCTCCTTACCCCCTCCCTGAGGAAATTAGGAACCTGTTGGCAGGTAAAGAGCGGGAAGGTGGCGGTAATGCTGTTGGGGTGGGGGCGAGGGAACGGCGAGCCGGTGGGGACAGAAGCACTCAGAGCCCTTACGCTCCTTCCCCCCGCTCCCCACGTCTTCTGGCCAGTGGGGTCGGCACATGGAGGAGAGAAGAGGGGCTGTTTCCTCTCAGAAAGAGAGTGGGCGTGTGTGTTGAAATTTGGTGCGGGGATGGTGGCGAGGCCCTTTTTGATGATCTACACAAATGGGATCAGAACGTTTCTAAGTGCATTGTGAAGACGCGGTGCGTGTGACAGAGGAGGGGGCGGGGGAAGAAGAGTGGAGGAGGGAGAGAGAATGATCATGATAATGAATGCTGTGTGAGCAGGCAGAAGGGAGCAGAAGTCAAAGAAGTAGTTCTTGGGTGGTCTGGCCAATGGAGGTAGAGGATGTAGAGATGCAAAGAGATGTCAGAGCCACAGGTGTTAGGGGTTATGCGGTGAAAGGGTTTGTCATTTCTAAAACTCCCATTTTTCTTAAACATTCAGCTCACTCACATTTAAGACTTGCAGAAGGTCTGATTCTCAAATGACCATTTGTCCTCAGCCTCAGTAATATATTAAAGCAAAAAAGGAAGGATATGTTAAAGTTGTACTTCCTGTGTCACACGATGAAAGTACTTCATCTTTGCACCCTTATCTTCCCCTTTTCGGTTTTACATTACCATTTATAAGAACTCATTTTAGGAGCTAAAAACATGACTCTTCAGTAGCGTTATGAATCCACTACTAGTTCGTTAATGTACTGGATATGGAGGTGTGTATGTTCACTAAGAACCAATGAAAATTGATATTTCTGTGCAAGGTAGAAAATATATCTTTTTGAGGTAGCACAAATCTTGCCTATCTTAATGTTCTGGAATTTTAACCATCATTTATTTTGTCTAGTTTACGTCAAAATTCTGGAAATTGAATGTTGATTTTTACTTTAGTTTTAGTTGTCTCTAGAATATTTATCTTTCAGTATTGTTCATGAATAACTAGACTACAGATTGCTTATTCTAACTCTTAAAAAGCAATGCCATCTAATATGTGACATTTGAAATAGTAAGTTATAGCAACGTGAGTCCAAATCTAATATGCTGTTATACAATGTTGGTGCTTGGCATCATTAATATGGCAGGGAAAATAAAACTAAGTTGTATTAATGTAGACTTATGTTTGTATGATTATGGTACAGTATATTGAATGCATTTGTGGTGGGATAGTCTTTCACTCTGAGAAATGCTTGTTGTCATTAAAGGGTACCACTAAAGGAAATAAAGAAGTCTAAAGACTGACTTCAGTCAGCTTTATTACATCACATGACTACTGATTTTGTTTTACTACAGTTAACATTTTTTGTTGTTACAATGCTGGAATTGTTTGTTTAGAATATTATTGTAATAACCAGTTCAGAAAAATGTGTATCATTATTCCAAAAATAGATGAAACCATTTTCAGTATATTCTATGTCTGTATTTTTGAATTTAAGAAATAACATATAGACCTCTAGGTGCATGTTTTAAAGCTTGGCAGCTCCCATAATACAGTTTGTTATTTGGATCTGTAATCGTCCATCAAAGATAATATGATATGTAGGTCGTGAGACTCTTTATTCTCTGATCCCCATAGATCACAAGTGTTTCATGTGGCCCTTATTTGTGTAGTTTAACTAAAAACTCAAAATTACATATTTAATATATCTGCCAATGCTAACTTCCGATATGTTTCTGCCGTCTCTCTTTATTCAGGTAATATACTAGCATAATGTCTGAAATTATTTTAAAGTCATTTTATTGACATTTTCATTATTTTATATTAAAGCAAATCACATATTAAAACACACATGAAACATGAAAACACATGAAATATTAAAACAAATATTAAAACTTTTGGAATTATAAATTTGGATTATACTTTATATTCAGAGGATATTTTCAAGAAGTATGAAAGTGAGTTGGGGCATATTTATATTTAAAGAAATTTAACAAATAAGTGTTTTTCAGGTTTAAAAAAACTTATTTGGACAGTTGTTAACATTTTATGTTTGACTGTAATTAAAATCTTTTTCTGAGGTAGAGAAGGATTCAAGAATAGATGCTGTCAGCAATTATTTCATATACTGCATCTAAAAATATTGTTGGCATTGTGCATGATTCTTTTTATAATTCAAGTGTATTGGGTAATAGTATATGAGTAGATTTACAGTAACTAAAATTATAGAAGTATTTATATTGGTTTGAATATTAGAGATACTGCTGGCTTATTTCGTATATTTCTTTGAAACTAAGGAGATATTGGTAGTGTTGGTTGTAGTTAACAGTTGAGTGCTCTTGGAATGCATGGTACTATGCTAGAATTCAGGGTAGAGAAGTTAAGGAACTAAACTTTTCAGGAGTTTTAAATCCTTTGTTTTTAGAAAAATGAATAGGAAATCCAAAGATAATGACTGTTAAAAAAGTTGCTTGGATGTATCTATTTCTGTTCCACATGCCTATTATCTAAATCATTATATGTCATATGTGTTGTTTGAAATTTCACCTGCTTAAAAGGGATAAGTACTCAAGTGTATTCTTATTTATTATTTTTCTTTCTCTTTATTTTTCTGACTGATCATGGCAGTCCAGGCTATGCTTTCAACATTTGCTCCCTCTCCCTTCTTCTTTCCCCTATAAAAAACATTCCATAGAAATGTCAAAAAAAAAAAAGAAGTCATTATTCTTAACTCACATATAGTGATACCTTTGAAAAAGTGGCTATCTAGTTTGATTTTTAGTTAAATTTTTTGGGGAGTTAGTATATTAAGTCTTGAAGACCTATGCTTTTTATAAAATGTTGTTGATTATTCTTTTGGTTATATGAATAGAAAAGGACTTACAGAATTTTGTTGTTAAAAGCAAATTTTGAGCTGCCATTGGTTTTACAGGCAACCTTTGATTTTTTTTTCTTTTCTATAGCAATGGAAGAACAGGTTTAGCCTGGATAACTGAAATCAAAGGACAATCCCAAATCTTGTCCATTTAATGTTCTCTCACATCCAAATATTTTGACTAGGACTAGCAGCAAGAATAATCTTGATTTATGTGAGTTTTTTTTTTTTCTCTAGGCAGGCAAGAAAGTAAGAGGAACTAGAACCACTTCCCTCCAGCCTCCTTCATTTGTTTAATCATCCTTTAAATAATGGTTTGTTAGTGGCTTACAGCCAGATATTGTCATTCATCCCCATTCATTTGTTTTAGGACAACAAATTTTAAAAGGAAAGCTGTAAGAAGTTGTTATTTTCAGTTTACTAAATTAGAAAATGAAACCATTGTTAAAAGAAAATAGTGATTGTCACTGCTCTGAAAAATCAAACCAAACCAACCAAACAATAAATAAAGTGGTTATATAGTTTCTGCAAAGTGATCTTGAGATTTTGTTGACGTGGCAATCTTGATTACAAATATCACATTTTCCTTACTGGGAATTTTCAGGACATTAAAAAAAATTTTTTTTCCACACATTATGTATGAAGATAATCAATATATTTAGCGGACATTGATTATCTTTACACATTGATTATGTGAATTTTTTTTCTACACAATATTATTTAGGGTGTATGATCAGTCCCCTAATGAGTTCCTATAGGGGCACTGGGTAAAGAATGCAATTTATTTGAAATAGAGGCAGAATTTTTTCAATGCTGAATATAGTATGGTTTGATTTTCACCTTTCCAAGGTTCCGTTTATAATTTGGTCAACATTTTGATTTTATTTTTCCTATGATAATTATTTATGGTATATCTACTGTCCCGTAACTTCCTTCTGGGACATTGGCTAAGTATGTAAAGGGAAGAGTGGCACCTACTGAGTCACCAATAGTCACCTACCTCTTTAGCACCTGGATTTTCCTACAGAGCAAGAACAAGCTTGCCCCATTTTGGCAGCAATCACTAAAGAGCATAAAGTTGATATGAGAACATTTAATCTCAAAATGAAATCTATTGTACCTCCAAGATATTCTTTTCTGGAAATAGGAATATACGTAAATTAAGGGACTAGAGGTTTATAGAGATTTTTTTGTATGAGTTAAATAATATAGATGAATTAAGATGTGGTGTTAGGAAAACTATTTGCCTGTTTTAAGTATATAATGTCCTACTTTTTCTTGGAAGGAGATCTTTTGGCGTGGTGGTCCATTGAAAGTATTTTTACTTAGATTACTGTATAAGGCTCTTGATATCATGCACAGTTTTTATAGCTAATCAGTCCAAATTATCATTGGTTTTCTTTAAAAGGAGGAATCCAAACATATTTTTAAGGATAGCATTATATGAAAACTTTGCAAATGAGCTTATTGTTCCTGTTACCAGCATTAAAGTATTACTAGAAAGAAGGTAGAAACAACAGAGTAGGAAAAGCTGCTGGTGATTTGAAACACTGTTTAGTTGTCTCTCATAAATTTCAGATTAAGTGTCATATATGGGTGATAAAAGTGGCATAGGCTAGACTTTATATACTCATTATTCACTTAGTTTGTCCTTTTCAATTAAAGCTAACTCTATCTTTTTCATTCCACTGGGTTTACATTTCTTTTTAAATCACATCCTGAACACATTACAATAGATGCTGCCTAAAAGTGAATATAGTGTAAGTTTCAGACTAATATGTTATTCACTGTGGCTTCTTTGAAAATGTGTGGTAAAAATATTTTGATAATTGTAAGGTGCTATTTACCAAGAGTCATCTTATAGAGGTTGAAAGATGTTCAGCCCTACCTTTAAACAGCCTAGCTTTCTATAAAAATAAATCATTTAGTCTCTGAAAGTCAATTTTGGAAATTTTGTTCAGTGATTGGATTGTAAGACTCTGGTATGTTTTACCCATTATACTATGAGAGCTCTTATGCCTGTTTATGTCTCCTTTTCCATGTTTGAAAAATCCATAGTTCATCTGTAACCTATAAAAGTGCTAGGTAATCAAGAAAGGACATCAGCTAGAACAATCAATAACTTTTCAATTAGCCATTTTCCAACTTTGGGTATTTGGCTCCATTGATTTGCATGTGCCAGTTTAATTGATTTTTATATTTTTACCAGTAGCTGTTTGGTCAGAACCATACCTTGCTTTAACAGAGAAAAGCATGTCTTTTTTTTTTTTTCTTTTTCCTGATGGCAGCTTACATTCTAGGCTAGTATCCCTATCATATTAAGTTTGGTGGCAGCACATCTCAATGAATGCAAAGAGAAATCTGGCCCAATTCACAAATATTGAGTGAGATGTGGAATTAAGTTAGTAAGGCCATTGGGGGTGCTGTGTGATTGGTTTTACATTTATTGATCTGGGGCTGAGCATATGGTGGTAGATTCAGTCCAAATCTTGCTCCCTCTCCCATACAATTCAGGCCATCACAGAGGCTGTGTGTGTGTATATGCTTGTGCAAGGAGGTATTGGATGGTTGGAGGACTAGGCAGGAAGAGGAGGTGTTACCTTTGTGACTTGTTTTTAACCTCCAGCCTGCAAGTCATATTCTAGGCTGTTTGATAGTGGGGGGTGGTGAGGACAAGTGGTCAAACTGCTTTTCAAGAGTGAGAACCTGTGCTAAATACTACATCCAGAAGCTGAGTTATTTTATCATTTGCAAAAAATTTTAAACTGTTCTGACCTGGTGTAGTTCCACCTTTTCACTATGTGATCTGTATAGCGTAGAAGTTGGTAGAAAGCAGTTAGTGTGTGTGTTAGATACTTGTCCCAACCACTCTTGACTCTAGGGAAAGGTGGGGTGGCTGTTTTTTAGGAAGTCTATATGTTAAAAGGGGGAAAAAAGGAAAATTAGAATACGATTCAGTGACTTGGTGTAAGTGTTTGCCTCTTGCGGGTCTCCATGGCTATGGACAGATTTCTAACTTAAACTGCTTAAGATTGCTGAGCCAGAATATATCATCTTTTAATTTTGTTTAACATTTATCAACAGAACAGTTGTAAATCTGATCTTTTCAGATGGCTTCTCCCCCAGATACTTACAGCTGTACCAGGAGATAAGGTTTACCCTTGACAGTGTTAAGGTGTAATGTGAGCTAAAATCCCATCACGTTTACTTTCACCGGGATAACTTTTTCCTGCTGATGACTTGGGCAGGGGTGGAGGCTGATGGAGATGGGGGCAATTCTGGGGTTAAATGCAAGCAGCGCAGACCCTTCAATCTCTGTGGCTGCTGGCCCAGAGTCAAAGATGGGGGTAGGTGGGGGTAGTGAGACCTGGTAGTTAGACCCTTTACCGTCAGTGCAGAGTGGGCCTCCCACGCTTCTCTCCCGTGGCCAGTATGCGTGAGAGTGCATTGAGCCCCTCCCTCCGAGGAAGAATTTCTAAAAACTGGGCTAAGAGTTGAGCAAGCTTTTCTGGTAATCAAATTACTGCGTTTCCCTGAATAATTACAGACAGTAGGGAATGGTAAAATCTACATATCTACACGATCCCTACAGGAAGGTAGAAAAGGGCTAACATGCTTGCTAGTTTACTGTGCTTGCTAGTTTACCATTTGCAGGGCTATTTAGAGCACAATAAAAAGCTTCAAATCTCTTCTCCAACCAGCCAGAGGAGCACTTGATTCGCCCAAGACCGTATTGCTCGCTTTTGAAATATTACCCGGGCTCTGAGCTACAAAGCCACAGATCCAGACCCATTTGTCTGGCGAGGGCGCTGCCCCAGACCCGGCTCTCCCTGCTCACAGTTCAGCCTGAGAGGAACCCTGGGGTTTAACACTCGAGGGCCGAACTGGAGCATCTCACAGCCCTACAACTTCTTTGCGTCGCTTGGTCTGTCTCTGCGTTGCGGGAGCAGGATCGGTGTGTTTCTCAGGCACGGGCCGAAGGCCACTGGTACGTTTAGGAGTCTCCTGTGCCTGGAAGAGGCTGGTTTCGTTCGATTCGAAAAGAAACGGGTAAAGTGTAAATTTTAAGAAGTAACCTAGATTTCAAAAGCTTAAAAACTAACCAAGTCAGTGGACGATCAACAAACTACAATTATTTCGGGAGCCGCTTCCAGTTTAAAGTTTATTTATTATTATTATTTAAGCAAAGCAATTTCTACTCTCTCCACATCACCTTTGAGAAATAATCACGAAAAAGTCATTGTTTATTAAATAATGGTAGTTGTCTTAAACTTTTTCTGGGAAAAGCTTAGGGATAAGTATGTTAAAAAAGGCTGCTCAAAAAAAAAAAAAAAAAAATAGACTTTTGCCCATACCCAATCTCTGAATTTCTGCCATCCTCGAAAAATACCGATTCTTCCTACAGCCCCACACTCTTTCAACAAATACTTTGTCATAAAACAGTAACATAGATCAGTATTTTTAAAACATTTTTGAGGGCGTTAGAGAACACTATGTAGAGTATTGCAGCCTTTTTTTCCCCCTGAGTTTTTATAAAACTGAAATGACCTTTTAAAGAAAAAAGCTCTTTGGGCAATTCGTTATTACATCCAGAGATAGAAAATAGATTCTGTTTGTTTAAACTTGGAGAAAATGTAAAATAGGCAATTAAATACTCATGAAAGGCAAACATTGAGTGAAAATAATATTAAGCAGACTATTCCCAGTCATTGTGCCAGTGATTCTCCTTAGTGAAGGAGAATCAGCAGTAGGGACGTTGCTTCTTCCCTTATTCCACTTTCTTGCAAAAGTTACTGTAATGATCTCAGGGGAGCCAGTGATCTTTTCTATTTCAGCTAATGTCTACATGTTCAAAGGTTGCTTGCTGTTCTGGGTACAAAATTTAAAGCGTTTAGAGCAGCATGCTTCTTCCTAAGTTTCATTATTCTGAACTCACTTTAGAAGTCTGTGTCTAATTTGTGCTGGTACTAGATTATGTCTCTGTGTCCTCCTCTTCAAAATATAACTTAAGGAAAGAGAAGCTGTGACATATACTTTCATTTCATTTTGATACTTAATTTTAACACATTAGTTGTTAATAGACTCAAACCATAAGCTATTTTTTAAAATTGTTACAGTATCCTTAATTCTTTTTCTTATCATATTGACTTAGTGAAAAATTATCCTTTCACATTTATTATGAATGTATAAAAGTTTAATCAGCTTTCCTATTGGATCAAGATACTTTTGTAATCAAGAATTACAAACATTCTATCCCATATACTAGGTTTTAAATAGTTAATTGTAAGTACAGTTGAGAGGCTGTTTATTTTACTATACTGAATTACTTATATGTAATATTATTATATTTTGATGCCATACAAAGTAGTTAAGGAAAAAGAAAGTAAAACATAAATCCCTTCCATATGAGATATCAATGATTTATAGCCATTCCTACTTAAACATTTTAAATGATATCCTCCATATTAGGTATTTCAGAATGAGCTGTGAAATTCTGAAAAGAAAATTAAAATTGCACAGTGTTTAATAAATAATAAGAATGAAACTATTATAAAAATTAAGCCTGTAAGGACTTTTTGGAATTTTACACTAGAGAGAACAAGACAATAGCATAATTTAGAATTGTACTAAAATTAAAAAAAAAAAAAAAAGCTTGAGGGAATGTTATGCGAAGACATAGAAATCTTATTTCTTGGCTACTATATTTTTATATAATGGAAGAATTTATGTTTGTACTTCTTCCTTAAGACATATTTCAGGCGGTAATACCAAGACAAGAAACAAGAGCTCACAAAACTACACAGCTGGTTATCTTTTTTATTTGAGAGTAGTCAGAATGAGTGGGTAGGTAGGAAGGAGGAGGGCTTGATTTGGGAATCTTGGCTAGAAAAGTGGATTTACTTTTGCCTTTGAAGCATTACACGTTGGCTATACCTGCACATTGATTATACTAGGGAAAACAGACCCTTGCCAGAGACATTAGCTTATATTGACATACTATTATGAATGACTTGTTCATACAGGAACTTACAAAATACTAGAAAATGATGGTAACACATGCATAAAAGCTTGGTGCTTGCTTTCATATAAGAGAATTTGTTAAAAGGGACACCGTAGTTTATGAAAACTTGTGTGCTTCTTCCTGGTTTAATGATGCCAAACATCCAAATAGTATTTGCTGTGCTAAGCATAAGTGGAACATACAAATTTTATTAGCTAAGTGGTGAACACTTTGTTCAAGTTAGTATTTGAAACATACTTCAACAGTTATGCTTTGGATTGATAAATAACTGTAACAAATTATATAGGTATTAACACTTAGGTGTAGAAGCAATCATTGTCCTATTTATCTTCACAAAAACCTTTATTTCTTGTAATTTGTATCCTGTTTCTTAAATTGCATTGTTTAGATGTTGAAACATTTGTAGCAGACATACTGAAAGGAGAAAATTTATCCAAGAAAGCAAAGGAAAAGAGAGAATCCCTTATTAAGAAGATAAAAGATGTTAATTCTATGTAAGTCACTTACCTTTTGTTACTGATTTCTTACATAGAAGCAATTTTAATAACCCTAACATTTTAATAAAAAATGGATTATTATGGGATTAAATTTTTCATGTTCTAATTTAATTGGTATTAAATATTTTTAAAGGGAAAAAAATGTATTTCCACCTATATAGTTTTTAAACATAGATATCCTTATCATAATTCCCTTTGTATTTTTCTGAGCACTCTAGCAGAATTCAGCTGTTTATTTTGATTATCTGAGGGTATATTTGGTTTAAATGATAAGACAAAGGTAGATTGAGGATTTTAATATACAGAATATACCTCAGACTGAAGAAAGAGAATCCTTTTAATTGTTCCTACTTTAAATGAATAAATGTAATGTATTTACATGTATTAGGTATTGAAGATATATCCTCATTTTACTACTGTACTTAGATCTTTAAAAATTATTTTATTTAAAATTTTTAAGCATTTTGAAATTATCATTTCAGGACAGGAATTAGTGTTTTCAAATGTATGTCTAAATTATATTTTTAATATATATTTTAGATTTTAATCATTGTTACTGATTAGACCTTGTTTTGATTTTTCGACCTCATTAAGAAATATGATGTTCTTTATTTTGCAGCTATCTTCAGGAATTTCAAGACAAAGGTAAGTTTTCATGTTTGGCAAACTTGTTTTTCCTCTGTGGAGATTTTCAGTAGGATAATCTAACACATACTGAAATTTGATAGTTGGAATCAAAATTTAGATTTCTGTAATGTAGACTTAGACCTTCAAGATGAGAGTGCTAGCTCCCCCTGCTGAGAAGAAAATTAAAAAGTATATGCAGAATCTACTCTGCACAGTCTTCTGATGCAGAGATCTTATGCATTTAATATTCTTAGGTTATGTGTTTCTTAGGGTACGTTGTGGCGGAAATTTTTTAGGAAAGGCAAAATGCTGCAATTACACATGGAATAACTTGGTGAAGCAGAGATGAGACATTAATCCACTGCCATTCAACACTGCAGGGATTATTTTAATAGTAGTGGTGGGAGAAGGGCCTGTGGCTGAGGGCTTACAGGTAATGTTTTTGAAGGATGTTTTGAAAACAGTATAAATTTTTGTTTGAGAATATGAGTAAAATCTTTTTCAAGTAAAAGTTTTTACTTTTCTTGTGGTTCTTTTGATATGAATGCATAGGGGCCATAGACAGTTTTTAAAGAAAGGAAATCAGTTTCATTTTTTTTTTTTTTGAAATAGTGAGAATGCTGGTAACCTGACTGTCTCCCTTTAGATTTGAGAGACAGCTGCTTAGCAGACTGAAAACCAGATCAGGAAAGGTACAGGAAGTTCCTACTACTTTATATATTCAGTTCTTTAAGGGAAACTGGGTGTGGCCTTTGCTTCCATGATACTTATTCATAGGTTATGACTTACAGCTTATGGATGCTGGTGTGAGGGTCACAATATGAAGTCAGTTAACTTCCACGGAGCTAGGTTCTGGGTTTGAGGAAGACATACAGTATGGCGTCTTCTGACTGAAGCTTGCAAATCCCAGAGTAAATCATATTTGTGCCAACTGATAAGTGAGAAGGTGGTAACAATTTCAATAAACAAAAGACTTAACCAGACAAACCTAAAATCAATTAAAAGGAAGTCACAGTTTATTTTCACATTAGATCATCAAGCTTGGTATGATTGAAGGGAATGAAAAGAGATATATATTCATATTAAAATTTTTAACACTTAAAGAAATGAGCAGTAAACTATTCCCTGCAAGTACTCACTTTTTTTGTGTTCTACAAGAAATCCTAAATTGTGGGTTTAATTATGTTGCATTTTGTTTAAATGAATGTAGAAATGAATTTATGCATTTTAATTATAATAAATTTTATTATATAGCATACTTTATGGAATAATACTAGATACCAGATTCTGCCTCTCTTAAAAGGCATATTATTTCCAGTGATTATTTATTGAACTTGCATTGTGCTTTGTGGCTTAATTATTTGTACATTTAAAAATTTTAAGCTAAAAAAGCATGATATGAAGTAATTGTGGATATGAATCAGTAATAGTGTGGAAACTTTCCCTTTGGTATTTTGTTTTAGAATTTGTTCAGGTGTGTTGATATTAAAATTACATTACTGAGATACATGGTTTTTCTCTAAAGAGAATAGAAATTTATATAGTATTTGATTGAAACTGAAAAGTGAGCATAAAATAAGAGTTCAAGTAGCATAGAATTTAGAGATGGCTCATAATCATTTTCCTCTGAATAAGGCATTTGTAGTTCAATAACAGCTGTACTGAGTTAACTAATCACGAAGAGTACCTGTTCAAAAGTAAGCCTGTAGATGAATTAGGTGTATACCTTGGAGAAATATGAGCTCAGTACTTTTATGCCATTATAAACTCAAAGTATATTCAGCCTTGTTCTAAAAAGACTGTTCATGTACTTTGTTAGACATAGTAAAGGGTTCAGACCTAATAGTTGTAAATTAATTATTCAAGATACATTATATCTCTTTTTAAAAAAAGGAATTTATTTTCAGATCTCCACATTGAGTAAATTCAATTCTAAGTATGTTTTGGTGGTGTTGCCTTTTCTCCATCTTACATTTTCCCTCTGAGGTTTTGGATTATCTTTATCCAAGGAGTTTTGGGCAGAATTCCTTTTGGCTGTTTTCTGGTACTTTTTCTTCCCTCTTCCCTCTCTCTCTCTCTCTGGTCAATGTAGAGTCACACTGTGAACATAAGCTGTTTTCCTCCTTTCTACCTTTATAGTCCTAATTTTATTTACATATATATGTATTTTAAATGACAGATATCATTTTATTATCACTGTTGGGGAAAAAGGTTCTTAAGAGTTAATTCAGATTTATTTATATTTAACAACTTAGTTATTAATTTCTGTAATACACACAGATGTCTATCATCCTTCCTTCCTTCCCTCACAAATCCTTCCCTTCTACTCTTGATAATCTCCCATCCTGAGATTTAACAATACAGATTTTACAGTTTGAAGTCTTTCTTTGTTTCTTTTCTCTCTTTTTTTTTTTTTGAGACAGGCTCTCATTCTGCCTCCCAGGCTGGAGGGCAGTGATACCATCTTGGCTCAGCGCAACCTCCGCCTTCCAGGCTCAAGCGATCCTCCCCCCTCAGCCTCTGGAGTAGATAGAACTATAGGCACTTGCCACCATGCCCAGCTAATTTTTTTTTTTTTGGTAAAAACGGGGTTTTGCCATGTGTCCCAGGCTGGTCTTGAGCTCCTGGGTTGAAGAGGTCAGCCACCTCAGCCTCCCAAAGTACTGGGATTACAGGTGTGAGCCACCATGCCTGGCTGCCAATTCTTAAAATTTAAAATTAATTGAGTTGGTATAGTTGAAACACTAGGCTGCATAGATCTTAGGAGATTTTTTTTGGTACTTTTTTTTTTTTTTTTTTTTTGTAACAGAGTCTTGCTCTGTTGCCCAGGCTGGAGAACAATGGCATGATCTTGGCTCACTGCATCATCTGCTTCCCAGGTTCAAGCAGTTCTCCTGCCTCAGCCTCCTGAGTACCTGGGATTACAGGCACGTGCCCCCATGTCTGGCTAATTTTTCTATTTTTTTTTTTTTTTTTTGAGATGGAGTTTCACTCATGTTACCCAGGCTGGAGTGCAATGGCGCGATCTCGGCTCACTGCAACCTCCGCCTCCTGGGTTCAGGCAATTCTCCTGCCTCAGCCTCCTGAGTCGCTGGGATTACAGGCACGCACCACCATGCCCAGCTAATTTTTTGTATTTTTAGTAGAGACAGGGTTTCACCATGTTGACCAGGATGGTCTCGATTTCTTGACCTCGTGATCCACCCGCCTCGGCCTCCCAAAGTGCTGGGATTACAGGCTTGAGCCACCGCGCCCGGCCAATTTTTCTATTTTTAGTAGAGACAGGGTTTCACCGTGTTGGTCAGGCTGGTCTGGAACTCCTGACTTTGTGATCCATCTGCCTTGGCCTCCCAAAGTGCTGGGATTACAGGTGTGAGCCACCATACTCAGCAGTATTTCCATTTTTAGGGGTTAGAATAATTTACACTGGTAGAAACTCATTTTATTACAGTGGCTTCTAGATACTGAAGCTTGTGTATTAAGCCAATTTTTCAATTGGTATTTATATTCATTTCCATAGAAAGGTATTGTTTTAAAACTTTCCATTTCTTTCATTTATTAAAATACTTCTTTTATTCTTATATGTGCAAGTCTTCATTCCCCTATTGAAGAGATCTGACAAATTGTAGCTTCAGAATAATTATCAGTTGATTTTCTAAATTTCTTAATTTTACTTGTTCTTAGGAAAGATTTGAATCTAATCAGCCAGAACACTTCTTGCTTAGTCTGGTCCTTGTTATTCATTTGAAATATTGCCTGTTTTGTCTAGAACCGATAGTTCCTTCCCTTCCTATATCCTTCAAAGTATTGTATGTGACAGAATAACCTAGTATCTTTTTTTTCTTTTGTTTTTTGGAGACAGGATCTCACTCTGTCACTCAGGCTGGAGTGCAGTGGTGCCATCATGACTCACTGCAGTCTCAACCTTTCCCGGTTCCTTTGGGAGGCTAAGGTGATCCTTTTTCCACTGTGGCCTCTTGAGTAACTGGGATTATAGGTGCTCTGCCTATGTAACTTGTATTTTTTTGTAGAGATGGGTTTTCGCCATGTTGCCCAGGCTGGTCTTGAACTCCCGGGCTCAAGAGATCCACCTGCCTTGGCCTTCCAAAGTCCTGGGACTTACAGGCATGAGCCACTGTGCTCGGCTGACAGAATAACCTGGTTTCTAACCTTAGTTTTTTACTTGCAATATTGCCTCATACTGTAAAGTATCCTCCCGAATATTGGCTTCATGCACTGGAATTATGCTATGTGATTATTTCAGCATTGTTCTCTATCACATAACAAGGTTATAGGTCTCTTAATGTGACTTGAAATAATTATTTTTTGTGATTAGAATACAATACTTTTTCAGTACATACTGTTATTGACTGAGTATTAACTAGAATTTTCTAATGCTGGCATTAGTACATGATAAAAAATTTTTACCTGTAGTTGTATCTCGATCATATATTAGTCTTAGTTTTCTCAAGAGATGATTTAGGTGTGATTACTTTCTTTTTTTGTTTTTTTGAGACAGAATCTCACTCTGTCACCTAGGCTGGAGTGCAGTGGTGTGGTCTTGGCCCACTGCAGCCTCCGCCTCCCAGGTTCAAACAATTCTCTTGCCTCAGCCTCCTGAGTAGCTGGGATTACAGGCATATACCACCACACCCAGCTAATTTTTGTATTTTTAGTAGAAATGGGGTTTCACCATGTTGGTCAGGCTGGTCTGGAACTCCTGACCTCGTGATCCGCCCGCCTCAGCCTCTCAAATGTTGGAATTACGGGCGTGAGCCACTGTGCCTGGCCCATTACTTACTTTATAGAATGATCTACTGAATTAAGATAATGTGAAGATAATTGTACATAGTGGGTGTTTAATAAATGTTAATGTGTATTCTCAGATTCAGCTTCATTTGTCAAGAAGATTTAAGTTAATCTTGATTAACATAATTCAATTTTCAAACAAGTTGGGGAGAAATTATAAATTATTGAAAGAAGGGGAGATTTATTAGCATTAGACAAACATTTCATAA